CAAAATAGAAACCTGTAGATAGGAAATACCCACCCCCCAAGTTTATAAATAGAAATTTCCAGTATCCTATTTGGAAGCATTTCCAATACTGCATGCTGGAACATTGGTTGATTTTAAGGGTCTGTTGATAGTAACAATAAGGCTATATGCTGTTCATAAAAACTAGGTGACTTGAAGGAGGAGACAAGCCAGAAAAGTGGGAATTCTCCATTTGTGCTTTTCCTGTCCTCAGTTTTGAGGGGTTTTACTCTGATGTTTTCTTTAAGAGACTGTTATTCTGTTTTTAGTGGACAGGAATGGAACTCAACTCTTGAGCTGTCATTTGCTGAGCTCTTGAAGAGTTCCAGTCATGGGTTGAGTAAATGGTAGCCATGACTAGATGTCAAAATCCTTCCTTCCCTCTATCCCCTGCCTGGTAGCCACTCTCAAAACCCACTTTGTTGTGAAAAACTTGAGTTTCAGAGGAGGTGGTGCAGCAGCGCCACCCCTCGGTGGGTAAAACTATGGCAAAAGTCAAATATTTTTAAAATATTGTGAAATGACAATGAGGCGTCCCCCTCCCCGAGAGATTAAAAAAATTAGCGGAGATAAAAACTAACTTTTAAAGGAAGCACTTTGCAGTTGACCTCGTCAATAGAGAAGAACGACGTTGCTTTCCAGCTAGGATGGTGGCATAAAAAGAGAAACGTAATTCAGATAATTCAGGGGAAGAATTCTGGTGGGGGGGAGTGGTGTAGGGAGGGGGGGAGGCGCAGCATAGTTGTTTGTGTGCCTGGTTGGACTTAAGTAGGCTAGTTCCCCGGGTGGAGGTAGCTCCCTTTCGCCTTTGAACTTGACTTCTCAGGAGACCTGAATTTTGCTGCCTGTCTGACTTTGACATAAGGAGGGATGTTTTTGGTGTAAAATATCGAGGTGGCTGGAAGAGCTATAGTTTGACCGGTGGTATATGGGTGTGTGGTGATGGTGGTGGGGAGAGGTTTGTGGATTCTATGCAGCAAAGTTAGGCTGGTTAGCAGCCTCCTGCGAGTCAGAGTAGTGTGGCGCGTGCCGGTTTCCTGCACTGCGCAACAAGTGGGAACGCCGCCGCAGCGGTCTGAGCGTAGTGGCGGTGGTGACTGGTTTCTCTTCGCCCCAGTGGAAGCCAAGAACCGCTCCTTCCAACCCTCCCCGCCTCCCACTCCGAGATCACAGCCCTTCCAAAAGTCCATATTCGGGCCCCCCGCTCCTGTTTAGCCAGGAGCAGTAAGTCTGGTTGACCCTGGCCATTGGTCCCCAAGAGCCCCTTTCCTCCGTGACGATCATGAATGAGTTTATTCTCGACTCTCTTTGCTGGCGGACCGTGTGTGGCAAGAGCCGTTCTGCTTTTTGAAGATGAAAGCACCCTTTCTTTCCCTTCTTAGTAATTCAGCTGTTTTTTTTTTTTTTGGGGGGGGGGGGGGGGAAATCAACGTATAGTACACGAAAGCCGATCCAGATAACGCATTGTGATTGCTAGAGGCGTGAGCATCGAGAAGAATGGAATTACACCAGTAAATTAAATGTTTTCCAGTTTTGTTTTTGGAAATAACCACACCCCCAGCCCTAACAGGGATAAAAGGGAGTCGGAGTTTCGGGCGTGGAAAGCTGTACAGCACGGAGATTCTCGGATGGACTGAGTCTGCCACCTAGTGGTAGATGGTGGTCAAGGTCCCCCGCCTTGGGCTGGGGGCTGACCGGTTTATCCTGACTAGATGCTAGGAACGACAGGGAGGGCAGTCTCCAATGAGGATAGCATCCAACCTCCTGACTTTTGAGAAGACAAACATTGGAAATGCCCCGGCTGCTCTTTCTGTCCATAGTTGCTCAGCAATCAGCATCTATCTCAACTAAGAGAAACAATAACTCTTTGAGGACATCATCTACCTGTGACTATGGCCCCTTCCCTGGGGAAAAAGTCGGTATTGGAAAGATGGCATGGCAAAGTTCAGGAGATTTAGGGCTTAATTCTTTTTTTTTTCTTATTTATTTATTGGCAGTTGAGAAAACAGGCTTGACAAGGGACACGTTAGTATAGTTAGTGACCAAACTAGAACTAGGACCAGATTTGAAGCTTCTGAATCTCAGAGCTTAACTTAAAGTCAAAGACGAATTTATCTCAGTTCCTTTAAAGTACCTGAAGGACAGGAACAGCTGTCAGAACCATGACCAACTTCTTGGGTCACCCTAGCAGACAGCACACATTGGAAAGGTTTCCCAGAAGTTCTGGGGAAATTTATTTATAAAGCATAGCCTAAGGTTTTCAAAAACAGATATAAAAAGGCCTGCAGTGGTGCCGAAGAGCCCGCTGTCTTAAAGCTGGGGGTGGTGGTAGTAATTCATGGCCTGGGGCAGGGGTGGCCAAGGTCTAGTCTGCAGAGTTGCAGAGGTGGCTCCCGAGGCTCACATCTGGACCCAGAAATCCCTTTTTCCAATCCTTATATCCTTTGAAAAGCATCCTGTCGATAAATTTCAAGAGTGTGCACATGTATGAGGAGGGGGCATAGATAAACAAAGCATAATCCTAGAATTTGTGCCCCAGCATCTCTCCAGTAAAGTTTTCTCAAAGCTTTTAAAATGGCCCGTGCGCATTCGCGTGCTGGCGGCCTCTAGCGGCTGCCGGGGTGAGGCGCAGCGATCTCCCCAGCCCAGGCCCGCCTGAATCAACTTCAGCCTTTCCCACTGTGGGAGCGGTCGGAGGCTGAGTCGGAGAAACGCGCCTGTGTTCGGGTTGGAAACCAATCTGGGGACGTGTTTGAAGCGCGGTCAAGTTGGAGTCATCGCTTTCCAAGGACAGTTAGTGCCTTCCATCTTCATTAACGTGAATAAAGACCTTGGCTGACTTTTGTCCAGATCAAATTTTAAAGGCATTGTTTGCTTGGGGAGATCATGCCTCTCTCCTCCCCCGCCAGCCTCTATGCAAAGGCCGAGCCCAGTCCCGCCAGGATGGCTGGGACATCTTTGCCCCTGGACATGTTTGCTGGCATTGTCTGTGGGGCCTTCTGGAAGGCTGTCTGGAGCCGGGCGCTTAGGAAGAGTCCCTTCAGCAGCTCTTCTTTAGATCTTGATGATAAAACACATCCCTCTATTTTATTGCATTTCCTAGAAGCTTGCAGGCTTGCAAGAACGCTGTTGGCAGGAAACGTGATAGAAATGAAAGGACATAATGTCCCCGAACACCTTGGTTACCCAAAGCAGCTGCAGAGGCCACTGTGCTATCAAACTTGCTTTTATCTACTGTCACCTCCTCCACCCTCCCGCTCTTGCCCCTCCAACCCCCTCCAAGAGCATGAAGAGTGCCCCACCCCCGGGGGGGGGGAAGCGGGGAAGATACCACGTTTTGACCCTAACACCTAATTCCAGACCAGGGTGACAAGACCTGAACAGCTCTTTAGATAGACGCCGCTGGGAAAGGGAGCGTTCCAGCAGGAGCCCTGGTGGGAGTTTCACTGCGACAGCTCCAGATTTATTAAAATTCCTTGTTCCTGTCCCTAAACAGTGCTTTGCACTTTCAAATTCCCCTATGGAGTTTTCAGCGAATTATTGGAGTTATTAGATTACCAATAATCCAACCGCCGGCCTGAATAGAGAGCAGGGGGAAGGGATGAAGGCGTTTTCCAAATCTCTCTGGCCAAACTAGGTCAATGGGAAGGAGGGGCGGGGCGAGAAAGGCTTGTCGGTTTCAAACCTTGATGGGGAGCTCTCTCTAGTGTTAGGCAGCGGTAAAAACATGATTAGGTTTGAGCTCCCGGAACCACGCGACTCCTAATTTCCAATAAGTACATTTACTTAATTTTACTCCCCAGATTCTCACCCTTATCCCACAAATCCCAGTCTTCTGCATCACCTTTATCCCACCGGGCAAAAGGGCGAGAAAGTCATAAAGTAGGAGTTTAATGTCAAAAAGGCCCTGTCTTTGAGGACCGACCCTGACCCCGCCTCCGCCGCAGAAAGATTTTGCGGCGGCGTGTGACGACACTAGCTAGTTTTAGATCTGGACTGAGGCCTCTAAAGCTGACTTTAGCGTCCTCTACTACTGTCCTGAAAGCCCCTTCAGAAGCCGGCTACCGAGACCAATTAGGAGATGGAGCCCTGGGATTTTAATTCCTGCGAAGGCGAGGCAACTTTGGAGCGCGCCAGTGCGCGCGCTGGCGTCTGCGCCTGGGCCTCTGCAGAATCCTAACACTGTCTACGGTTTCAAGGAAATAGGATTCCGAAATCCCGAAACCTGGCTAGGTTAAGCCTGGTGGCTCCTGTTCTATAGACTGAGCGGAAACCGAGCCGAGTTGGGTTCCCTTTCTTGCTAACGTAGGCGGCATAGGCTTTCGGTTTAGCTTTCCTCCAACTCGGCTGGGTCGGACAGACTGGAGAGAGACTGTCAGCTCTAGGGACTCAAAATCTTTTTTACCTTGACATCTCATCTAACCATCCCCTTTAACAGAGCGTGAGAGGGAAGCAAGCAAAAAAAAAAAAGGGGGGGGGCGGTGTACCCAACGACCTACCAGGCAAAGGCCAGAATTGAGCAACCCAAAGGCATGATTGGATCCAAACTCCTGAGCCTCTGATTGGATCCAAACTCCTGGTTTATACTGCTACTAACTTGTCGACTTTCCCCATTTTTAAATTGTGGGGGAAGGGTTGGGCTAGGTGCACTCAGAGCCCTGGAACCCGCACCGGAAAGGGATTTAGGGGAAAGTGTGCCCTATTCCCCGCGAGCCTTCCCCTGCGGCACCCCCTCCGGGTGAATCCTCCGCAGTCCGCTCCTTGCAGGCAGCGATCCTGCTGGCCGTCGGGGGCCAGCAGCTTCCTGGAAAGTTACTTCTCATTGGAGACGGCGATAGGGAGAGAGTGTTCTGTGAAATCCGCAGAGCTGAGATCGACTACGTTCCGGGAATGAGAGGGCTGTGCCATTCCCCTCACTGCCCCCTGCCTTGGCGGAGTAACAGGAAAAAAAAAAAAAAGGCATAACAATGTTAGCTACCGAAAACTTATTTGAATGTAACGAAATTAAGGGCCGCCGCAGTCATACCATCCGGCCTCCGCCGCGCCTTCGGGGTTTGAGGCGGATGGGCAGCGGTGCCAGCGTATCGCCCGGGGCTGGGCGGTCCCTGGAAGACAGGTACGGTGTGATGGGGGTGGGCGAATCTGCGCAGGCTTGCCCCGGCGCGCAGGACTCCTTTTTGTGCTGGTGTGCTTGAGCGAGCAAATGGGGCTGTCTGGTGCCAGCCCAGTGGAGGAGGCAGGAAAAGGATGGGGTCTTTCGTATTGGCTCATTTACTCTCTCTTAACCTCATCTCGCCTCTTGCTTGTCGCTTCGCTCCTCTCCGGTCTCTCACCCTCTCCTTTCTGCTGCCTTCTCTCCACCCCTCACCTCATTTTTTTCTCTCATGGGAAACTCCTTTAGAGAATCTGCCTTCTCAAGATGCCACAGTGAATATACACAAGGAAAGCAGCAAAGTGGGCAAAAAGTGTGGGGGTGGATTAAACAACGTTTAGATCTTCCTTGGTGGTTACTGCAGCCTGGATTGGGTGGGGAGTTTGGGTGGTGGCGATCCAGGTATGGGCCGCTGCAGTTGTTAAGTTTCTCTTTGATGATCCTGCTATTGGTTGTTTTTTTGTGGATTGAATCTTGTGGGTGGCCTTGGTATGGCTGGAACTAGTAGAGGAGGTTTGTCCAGGACTTTGTTAGAGGTTGGCTTTGAGATCCTAGGCAAAGTTCATACCTGGCTGGGTAGTGGGGAGCGATAATGTCTTCCACAATAAGTCAGTGCTGTTATAAGATAAAATAATGGATGGGAAAGGACCAAGTCTTAAAAAAAAAAAAAACAACAACAAAACTAATATCAGTGATACTTCCACGTGTGCAGCATCCAGAGGGAGAGCAGTGTTGTACACATCCTCCTTAACCCACACCTCCTTAGTTGTGGGGTCTTTTAAGAAAAAGTTAGATCCCAAAGGAGTGAACTTGAAGGGGACATGTGCTTTGTTTTTGTCCAGATCAGGCATAGCTTAAGGTGAAAAGCCCAAGGCTTGGCTGACAGTGGCCGGGGAACTGTTTTGTTTGTTTCAATCTGAATCTGGAGTGAGTCATGGCCACTTGTCCTGGTGAAATGGCAAATCTGGGCTTCCTGTGGTTCCAAAAGTCTGGGGCTGGAAATCCACAAGTGAGCTGGTGGTTGGGCTGGTTAAAGGACAGCCTGGGTATTCTAGAAGTGTTTGAGGATCTCTTCCATGAGGGAAGAGGAGAAAGTTTATAAATAAACTTTAAGTGTCCTCAGCATTCTTTTTCAAAGGAGACAATCCTTCAACTCCGGTTAGGACCAAATTAGTATCTCTCTTTTTACCCATCTTTAGTTGGAATGGGGAAAGGAGGAAATAGGTTCTTTTGTCTTTTTCTGTTCTCTCCCTGTCCCTAGTTCCTTCCCTCAGTCCTCACATACTCACATGCACACACTAACCTTGAAGCAATGAGATTGAGTGACTGGCACTTGGGACCACAGAGAAATGTCAGAGTGTTTGGTTACAAGACTCAAGGAAACCTCTCATTTTAGAGGGCTTATTTGGTAAGACTCAGCAGCCTGGAATGGGGCAAAGTGTTTGTGTGGGGGAAGGAACTTAAAATGAGATTCACCCACCTCAGGGTGCTGTCTTGCATGTTCTACAGCACGTAGGCTGATTTGGAAAGGGAATAGGAATTTGAGCCAAAAGACCTAGGGCCAGGCCATCAGCCATCTACATGGCCCAACATGACCTCATTGGCCTCAGGCCCCTTAACCTGGAAAATAACTCTAAAGGACTATACCTTTTAAAAGGGGGAAATATTGCTTTGTTTTGCAGCTCACATTTGAGGGTAAATGAGAGTCTTACACTATTCTTTTAATGATTTTGTTTGAGAGAAACTGGTTTGGAGAGAGTACATATTTCATTAAATCTCTTTTAAGGTTTTGTGCTCCCTGGCCAGTTCTCAGCCACACCACAGTTAAATCTTTCACCAGCAGGGAGAAGCACAAACTTGGAAACTATGCCACACTGTCTGGTCTTTAATCAGGGAGGCAAGAGAGAGGAAGCTGAAAAAGAGGGCAAAGATACTCAAGGAATGCGTAGACATGTCACCTCAGGTTGTATTCTGTAGACTTTGTATTTAGTCTTAAATGTTCCAGAGAATCGGGAAATACTGCCTGGCTGTTTGTCTTGAGCAAGACACTTGAAGCCGAGTCTCAGTTTCGCCACCAGTGAAATAGGGATAAAGATATTGACCCTATCAGGCTGGTGGAATCATTTTAAGACTTGAAAGATAATATTTTAGCAGGCTTTGAATAATGTCCAGTGTTTCCAGCCCCTGAAGGATCATCGTCATTAATATTAAAAGAACTACTTTTCTTATTTTTCTTTCCCAGAAATCCAAGTGACTTTTAGATGGTATAAATTTTTTACTTCGAGCCAGGAAATATATGCGTACATTTATATGTAGTTAATGTATACGATTGTTTTCCTAGTACTCAGGGTACAGGCATTATTATTGCATAGCTCCGGGTGCCTGTTGTTTCTCTAAGAGCAGAAGTGGAATATGTTTGCTAGCTTGTGGTAAAACCGCACCAGCTGGCAGGCTGCAACTACCAAAGCAAAACTAACTACATGTGTCCTAAAATAAGACTATAGTGGACAATCTTACATTCATTAAATCAATTTCTGTTTGCTCTCTTCTCTTCTTTGCAGTTTTTAAGCAAAATTTTGGACTGTGAAGCAAGGCATTGGGTAAGTAAATCAAATTATGTGCTTTAAAATTTTGTGAACAAAGTGCTTCTTTTTAATTTTGCCAATGCAGCTATTCTGTGCAAAGAGTGACAATTGATGAGGCAAAGGGTAACCAATTCGCCTGTATTACTCTCAGCCCTTACCACGGCACTGTCTTCACACTATTGCATGGGTCAGTCATTCCCTCTCCTTTCTTAGTTCAAACTAACTTAGCCACTTACTATGCCCCAGAAATGTGCTAGTACTGGGAACTGAAAGAATAAAACAAAATAACTCCAAAGCCTAAGAGAGGAGAGAGATGGAATAATGTAGTGAGATACTGATGGAAATAGCTATAGTTTTTGAGAACATACTATGGTCTGGGTATATTAGCCCAAATTTTTAAGATTACTATTCCCATTTTGGAGAGCCAAAGACTGGAGACAGTAAACAATCTGCTCCAAGTCACAGAGCTAGCAAAAGACAAAGCTAGTGTGATAACCCCCAAAATATGGCTTCTCTCCATTGCAACATACTCACTACCTCTCAGTGGTTGGCAGAGAATTTGGTATGTGGGATAAATATTCAACAAATAGTCATTTCCTTTTCACTAAAGAGTTTTCTATCTCAACTTATTGGATAAAGATTATCAGCTATGAAGAATAATACCCAGAAGTGGACAATTAATTTTTCAAAGATGAAACCCTAGGGACCAGAGTTGCATTCCCTACCTCAGCAGGTTAAGTGACCTGCTCTGGTACTCATGGTAAGCAGGAAACAGGCTTTTGAGAACCAACAGGAGTTTGGCTTCTTTTTTCCAGGTGAAGACAAGATGGCCTCCCCGGCTGACAGTTGTATCCAGTTCACACGCCATGCTAGTGATGTTCTTCTCAACCTGAATCGCCTCCGGAGCCGTGATATCTTAACTGATGTTGTCATTGTGGTGAGCCGTGAACAGTTTAGAGCCCATAAGACAGTCCTCATGGCCTGCAGGTGAGGGTTCTGGAGGGGAAGGATGGATAAATAAGAGTTGAGTGAGGGTGCTGGCAGCCAGAGATGTGGAACACGAAGGCCTCTTGCGGGGTCTGGAATGACATCTCACTTGTCTCCAGATCTCAGCACATGGCCTACTATTGAGGACTCCCAGAAAGTACATGAATGAATACACTTTTAGAAAAGAGTTCCTGTTCTTTGGACATGGTGGGGAAAGAACTAATGTGCTGCCACAAGAAAGAATATGTTTGGGGCGAACAAGGAGAATAACTTCAGTTGATGAGTGAACAAATGAAAAGCAGAAGAGAGTCTTTAAGTAGTTTAAGCAAATTAATTCGAAAATCTTTTGCTCTTTTATGCTATAATTGTTTTTATTTTATTCTGTAACCCTATTTCCATGGGTATTCGGAGTAGAGGAAGAGCTAGAATGAGCCAGCTAATTCCTCATATTTGTCAAGTGCTTCAAATTTTCAGAGCACTGTTATATTAAATAATCTCCCTAGATCTTCCAGTGTGTGTTGTATGGATAGTATTATATCTCCATCTTATAAATGATAAGAGCAAGGCAAAAATAGGTGGAATTTTATAGATTCAAGGATCTCTCCTGGTACTAGAGAACTTATCCAATATCTACTCTTTTTAAAAAAATAGTGTAGGGAGCAGAGTTTACAAAGATATAAAAATTAGTTAATGCTTAATGAGTGCTTACCACATGCCAGGCATTATTCAGTACCCTTAACATTTTCATGCTTACTATGACTTTAGTGTTTCCTCTACTTTGCAGGTAAGGAAACCAATGTTCAGAGAAGTATCTTAGCCAACATTGCATGGGTCTTATTAATGAAAGTCTGGCTCACTTCTAGCACCCCACCCAGTAAAAGTAAAATTGAGATGACAGCTTATAATTCTAATTTTTAAATGAATATTCTTTCTTCCACTAGAAACCATCAACTGTAGTAACTGCTTGCAGTTTGATTTTAACCTTGTAGAAATAATTGATTTTTTGGATCTGTGGACTGAGAAAAACAGTAGTGTATAGCCATAATTTTATTTATTTGTCATCCATATCTAAGTTGCTTCTAAAAAGAAAAATAAAACAATCTCTTTAAAAAAAGCAATGCAATGAAACGAGGGGAAATTCTTATCCCAAGGATATAGGCTAAGAATAGTTACTGCAAATGAGTGCTAAATTTAACCCTGGTAATCCTTGCAGTTAAGACTGAAAGGAAAACAGGTTCTGTGACTTTGAGAATATACTTAACTTCTTTGATCTTAGTCCCCAAATTAAGATAAATAAAGGTAGAGATAATAAAGGTAGAGAAGGTATAAATAAATTAAATAAAGGTAGAGAAGGGTTATGAGGAACATAGGATAATGTATGTAAAATGCTTACAGACTCTCTGGCATTGGTAAGCTCTCCTTAAGTGCAAGTTGTTATTAATTGCCATGAGAGTTCTGGAGCTCGGCTCTAGGAAGAGGATCTGAGCATTAGTGCTACTGTAAAGGAATGGGGACTCCATGTGTCTACTATAGTGGGACATTTGTTTGTTTTCCAGTGGCCTTTTCTACAGCATCTTCACAGACCAGCTGAAATGCAACCTTAGTGTGATCAATCTGGATCCTGAGATCAACCCTGAGGGGTTCTGCATCCTTTTGGACTTTATGTACACATCTCGGCTCAACCTTCGGGAAGGCAACATCATGGCTGTGATGGCCACAGCTATGTACCTGCAGATGGAGCATGTCGTGGACACTTGCCGCAAGTTTATCAAAGCCAGGTAGGCCGTCTTGGAGGCAGAAGGGATGGTTTCTGATCATAAACCCTTGATAATTTATGCATACAGGAAGAAACTGTCCTCCACAATTTGCCACAACCTACATTTCCACTATTGTTACACACTTCTTGTGCCCTTCTTAACTCTTGCACCCCAGGTAAACTTGACTCCTTGCAGCTGTCCAGATCAGGCCTGTGCATTATGGCCTCTTGTTTTCTTCCAGTCATGTAGTATGCCTTTTCCTCCTACCCATCCTGCACAACTAAGCTTGGATGCTAGCTCCTCCAAGGAAGTTTCTCTGATTACTATTCATTCTCTCTCAGCTCTTTCTCTGTGTCCTGAAACAATTTTCTTGTCCTTTAGACCTTCGTTCTCTTTTAACATTTGCATATGATTTTTAGTTCTCCTTTAGATATCTATTACAACAGTTTACATAAGTGCTTTTGTTCCCTGCCAGACTGTGGGTTGCTCAAGTTCATAGGGACTACTTTACTGATGTCATCCTACCTCTATTAGGGAGGACACTTTTCTTCTTTTTCTTTTTTTGTACTGGGGATTGAACCCAGGAGCACTTAGCCACTGACTCATATCCCCAGCCCTTTTTATTTTTTGAGACAGGGACTTGCTAATTTGCTTAGAGCCTCATTAATTTGCTGAGGCTGGCTTTGAACTTGTGATCCTCTTACCTCAGCCTCCTGAGTCACTGGGATTACAGGAATATGCCACCATGCCTGGAGGGAGGACACTTATTGAATTAAATTGAGTTCACTAGGTTGAGTCCTTTACCCAAGGAATGGTAAGACATGGTCCTCACTGCATGGTAAGGACCTGGAAATGATCAGCTTTGCAAGATGGAACAGAGTCAGGGCTTCACTTCTTCAGAACCATATGATCTAGCCACTCTAGGGTGATTGCATCCTAACTCCAAAGAAGGGTTTGCAGCCTGGGTTTGATCACTTTGAGGAACCAGGATCTCAGTGTTTCCAGAGCCACAGAGTCTACCTTGGATACTCAGAAAGCTCCTCTTTATGGCCAGTTATTTCTGGTTCCTTTAGCCTTCATGTACTGGTTCTAGCTCTGTTAATTGTGATCATGTTGAGCTGGCCTACTTTTTCACCCACATTCCTTCAAGTATTTGCAGCCAGAGTTCTTTGTCTCCTGTGGGTGATAATGGTGGCAAGATCATCAATACTGTCATTTATAAGCCCTTTCTACAGGTCAGGCCTTGTGCTCATAATGGTTTAGTAACTTGCTGTAGGTCATATAGCTGCTAAGTGGCACAGCTGAGTTTGCAAACCAAGTCTGGTTGCTCAGAGCCAGACTTCTTGTGCTGGCATTTGCTGCCTGCTCTCCATTATAAACTTCCCTACAAATTCTTCCAGCATATGACACAGGCCCTTTCTTCAATAGAAAACTAGTTTGTCTATGACCCTCTGAAAGTGTAGTACTAGCACTGTATAAATTCTTCCCTCCTTGTTTCCATGTGTGTAAAATCCCTGCCTTTACTTCCTTGCAGGCTTTTACATGGTAAAAACAAGATAAGGGTTTTGAAAGCTTTCTATAAGCCATAAATTCTGTAATGTCAGAGGAGTTATAGATTCATAGACATCCTTACATATGTGTCTTAAATTTACAGGTTCAAGTCTTACCAGGCACAGAATGTGGGTAACTCACCTCCCTTCTTTGTGCCTTAGTTTCCCCAATTGTAGCCTGTATTACTGGACTTCTGTTGTAACTGCCTTGTTACTGTGTTTCCTTACTCCAAAGTCACCTCCCCTATGTCTAGCCTATTCAAGCACAGATGGGTTATACAACAGTATCACTGGAAGGTGTCTTTTCTCTTTTTTCTCCCCCAGTGAAGCAGAGATGGTTCCTCCCATCAAGCCTCCTCGTGAAGAGTTCTTGAACAGCCGGATGTTGATGCCCCAAGACATCATGGCCTATCGGGGTCGTGAGGTGGTAGAGAACAACCTACCGCTAAGGAACACCCCTGGATGTGAAAGCAGAGCCTTTGCCCCTAGCCTTTACAGTGGCCTATCCACACCACCAGCTTCTTATCCCATGTATAGCCACCTCCCGGTCAGCAGTTTCCTCTTCTCTGATGAGGAGCTACGAGATTCCCGGATGCCTATGGCCAATCCTTTTCCCAAGGAGCGGGGCCTCCCCTGTGATAGTGCCAGGCCAGTGCCCAGTGAGTACACCCGGCATGCCATGGAGGTGTCCCCCAGTATGTGCCACAGCAACATCTACTCACCCAAGGAGGCTGTCCCAGAAGAGGCACGAGGTGACATGCACTACAGTGTGGCTGAGGGCCCCAAGCCTGCCGCCCCCTCAGCCCGGAATGCCCCGTACTTCCCCTGTGACAAGGCCAGCAAAGAAGAAGAAAGACCCTCTTCGGAGGATGAGATTGCCCTGCATTTCGAGCCCCCTAACGCACCCCTGAACCGGAAGGGTCTGGTGAGTCCACAAAGCCCTCAGAAATCCGACTGCCAGCCTAACTCCCCCACGGAGTCCTGCAGTAGCAAGAATGCCTGCATCCTTCAGGCCTCTGGATCCCCTCCAGCCAAGAGCCCCACTGACCCCAAAGCCTGCAACTGGAAGAAGTACAAGTTCATCGTGCTCAACAGCCTCAACCAGAATACCAAACCTGAGGGGCCTGAGCAGGCTGAGCTGGGCCGCCTCTCCCCACGAGCCTACACTGCCCCCTCTGCCTGCCAGCCACCCATGGAGCCTGAGAACCTTGACCTCCAGTCTCCAACCAAGCTCAGTGCCAGTGGGGAGGACTCCACCATCCCACAAGCCAGCCGGCTCAATAACATTGTCAACAGGTGATTTCAGAGGCGGTCTGGGTCTGAGATCAGGGATTACCTGAACAGGTTCTGGGGTCATTTCTTCTGATGGATACAGGAACCATGTTTTGGGTTTTTTTTTTTTTTTTGCCTAAAATGCTAAGACTCTTCGAAGTGCAGAATTAGTGAGAGAGAACATTCCCTTCTATAGAAGAACACCCCACAAATTCCACAGGTACTTCCAATGGTCTTGATGTGGCAGGGACCCTCACATTTCCCATAGATTGAGTGAGTCTGTGGGCTGTAGTACTGAGAGGAAGAAACTGGGCCAGGAGTGGGGTTTGGGCTTGGTTTAACCCTGGCCTGTGCTCTCCTGTAGTTGCTGTTGGAGGCAGACTTGAGGAGGACTCTGAGGCCCCGGAGCCAGCATAGGGCAGCTCTTCTCTGTGTTTGCCTTAGCACAGAGTGAAGATGGCATTGAGGCCAAGCAGAAGGTTCTATCCTGCCCCTGGTGCTGAGGCTGTCTTTATTCTGCCCACAGGTCTCTGACAGGTTCACCCCGTAGCAGCAGTGAGAGCCACTCGCCGCTCTACATGCACCCCCCCAAGTGCACATCCTGTGGCTCTCAGTCCCCGCAGCATGCAGAGATGTGCCTGCACACTAGTGGGCCCTCGTTCCCTGAGGAGACTGGAGAGACCCAGTCCGAGTACTCGGATTCCAGCTGTGGTGAGTTCCCTTCCCTCCCTCCTCCCCCATGGGCTTTGTGTTTTCATTTTATTTGTACTATTCTCTCTGATTGGGAGCAGTTCCTGATTAGAAATCCATTGGCATAAAATCACCAGCAGATCAACCCATTCTTTACCTTTCAGGGAACTGGGCTGGCTAAAGCAAGGGATGGGGTATCAGAGTTAATATGGGGTAATAGAGCCTAAGCAAGCCATCTTTTTGGCTTCATTCCTGCAAGTGTAGCTTTCAGGGTTGGCTATAATTTCCAGAGCTTTCTCTATGCCTAAACCACTGTGTTGCCCTGGCTCCCCCTGACAGGGTGCAGATTCTCTCAGGAGAAATATCTGATGGTATTCATTCCTGCATACTGTTTAGGTTTTAGCACGTTCCTAGCATGGAGGAGCTATCAGTAAATGTAGTTGAATTAAGTTGATTGAAGTGAATTATTAAATTCACATTTCTGGGTAGTCTACAATTGGCATCCCCAGTTTTTACTAGATATAAAGGTCTAACTCTACACCCAGATCTGACTACTCTATTATGGCTCAATAATACCTAATCAGGGTTAAATCACCATGACATGCCATTTTCAAGTCGTTGTAACAAAAGAAAAAAAAATCAGTTGCTTACGCTGACAAGTTTGGCACAGATCACAGATCTTTAGTCAAAGGGAGAGCAGGGACTGTCCCCTCCCGTCCCCTGGCTGTTTGCCTTGCTCTGCACTCCTACTCCTTCTCTCTGGGCCTCTGTTTCCACTTCCATAGTTACCTTTGGTCTCCCAATCTCACAGAAGTATCTTGGAGACATGGAATTCAGATAGGTGCCAGATGACCATGAAGTCTACATCATTGATTCCTCCTTCAGTAATCTCAAAGTAAAATTGAATTTGACCTACATTTCATATCCCTGCAATGCTTTGTGTTTATTTTGTGTTATATAATACACTTTTGTGAAGCAGACAGAACAGGGATTTATTATCCTGACTTTGGAGATAGAGATACAGAGAGAGGCTCTGAGAGGTGAAGGGTCTTGCCCCAGGGCTTCTGTGTGTGAATGTAAATAAAACTATGACCTGATAAGAAAAGCAAGTTCACTTGGGAGAAGGAAAAACTTTGCCCAGGCTTCCTCCAACTGGATTATGCCCTATGAATAGGACTAGATTTGAATTTCCCTTCTGTACCTTAAGATTCAGTCTGTCTCCTTTCTCTCCTCCATGCCTGAGGCTCTTAATGCCCCCCCAAAATAAAATCCCATAGGTCCTTTGCTCTGGGCTCCCGTGAGTGTTGGCAGGTGGGGCTGGGGTTCAGTTTGGCACTGGGTGGCCTCAGAGGAGGGAGGCGTAGAGCCCATTTCCCTTCCTCGGGCTGATGTGGTGTCCGTCCCCCCTCTGACAGAGAACGGGGCCTTCTTCTGCAATGAGTGTGACTGCCGCTTCTCTGAGGAGGCCTCGCTCAAGAGGCACACGCTGCAGACCCACAGCGACAAACCCTACAAGTGTGACCGCTGCCAGGCCTCCTTCCGCTACAAGGGCAACCTCGCCAGCCACAAGACCGTCCACACGGGTATGGCCCTGCCCCTCCCCACTGAGTGCTCCAGGTTTCCTAGGGGAAGGACTTAGTGGGTGGGGCAATGGGGAGGCCCCACCCTGTCGAGCAAGGGCTCTACCCTGTCAAGTCCATTTTCCCTGGGGGATGCGCTCACTCCCTGTACCTTTTGTCTTTCCTTTGAGACTCTTTCCTGATTCTCTGCCCTTGCTGGGGATCAGCAGTATTCATCCCACTGTACTGGTAAAGAAACTAAGGCTGACAGAGGCATATTGAATTGGGTTTTTGTAAAGCCAGGAAAAAATGGAAGGCCTCTTAATGTCCTCCATGGACTTATTCCTTATCATCTCACATTCCTTGATCAGGTAACTTCATACAACTGAATTGTTGTCCACAGTTTACTTACAAGTGGCCCTAGTATGTGCGACACTCGCCATGAAGGAAGCCTCTTCAATTGGTCTCTTTTATTTGAGCCTCTGCTCAAACCAGACCCCACCCTTCTTGCTATTGGAGTATAGCTGAAGTTTCTACGAGCAGAAAAATGTTTGTTCTGAAAGAGAGAAACTAGAGCAGCCTGATAGTATCTCCATGGGAGTAAGTGCATTACCACGTCAGTTTCATCCAAGGGAAGAGCCAGAAGAGCCTCCTCAGGTCATCTCAATTAGCCCTGCAGGTTCAGGGAGGGAAACTGAGGCCCAGAGAAGGACAGTGCCTTACCAAGTCCTAAAGGTAGATGATTCTATTGGCAACACTGGTTCTGAAGCCCAGGCTTCCTAGAACCTCCCCATGCTGTCCCACATAGAGCCTCCTTTCCATCCACCATGTCATTGCTTGTCTCTGGGCCCTGGCCTCATGCAAGGTGTACTGGTATGTGTGTGAGAGAGGGTGGCAGGCCAGGAACCAGGCCCCTGGATTCTCTGACATCCCCAAAAGAAAGAAAAACTCAATTGGACTCAGATAGGGGCAGTTTGCATGCAAACCTGGGGGCAATGGAGAACTTCTTTATTGATTATGGCTTTTCTTTTTCTCTTTCTCTTGGAAATAGGCGAGAAACCCTATCGTTGTAACATCTGTGGGGCCCAGTTCAACCGGCCAGCCAATCTGAAGACCCATACTCGAATTCACTCTGGAGAGAAGCCCTACAAATGCGAAACCTGTGGAGCTAGATTTGTTCAGGTGAGCAGGGGGGTGTGGAGAAAGGACCCTGGGGCTCTAAAGCCCACCCCAGCAGAGCTTCTCATGCTGTGCTCCTCTTTCAGGTCGCCCACCTCCGTGCCCACGTGCTCATCCACACTGGTGAGAAGCCCTATCCTTGCGAAATCTGTGGCACCCGTTTCCGGCACCTTCAGACTCTGAAGAGCCACCTGCGCATCCACACGGGAGAGAAACCTTACCATGTACGCAAGCCCCTGGTGCCCACCGCTGGCGTGGGAGGGGGGTGAGGGGCAGCAGAAAGCTGTGCTCCAATCTCAAGTACATAATGATTGACCATTGAACTAGTGATTTCAAGAGCTGGGTCTGGGCCTGATTGTCAAAGACACCCTACTTTACTTTACCTGGTCTCAACGTGTTCCTTTTTAAAGTAGAGATGTGTGATCTGAGCTTCAAGAAGTCCAGATTATGAATACAGAGATTTTGAGGTCATTCCACAAATACTGAGTACCTATAGCATACCTCAATACTAGGCTAAATGTACATTTAAGAGTAGTTAAGGTATTTGAAAAGGTGCAGTCTTAGAAGTAGGAAGAGGACCAGAAAAATATGATGGTATAAGGAAAAAACAAGACAAATTGAAGCAGAGAAAAGACCATGTGAATAAAGAGGAGGTGGCTGGCTCTGTGGCACAATGCTATGAAGAGACCATAGGAATTGTGTCCTAGAGCAGGGTCTTGGCAAACTGCAGCCTGTAAGCTATTAGCCTGTAAGCTAACTTTTGAATATGCCATGAGCTAAAAGTGGTTTTTACATTATAAAAAAGATTAATATTGTGCAACATTGCAAATAATATTCAATTGAAGTTGCAGGGAACATACAATGGTCTTGGAACACAGCCACACTAATTTGTTTGCATACTGTCTGGCTGGTTTCAAGAGTTGATGGCATCACACTTGGTGGTGAGAAACAATCAGTGAATGATCCACTCACATCTCAGGTGTTTTCCTGCAAAATGTGGTATTTATTGTTCACTTGCTTCTAAGACTTTGGATATCTTCTTACTAGCTAAATAGTAAGAAGAAGTTAGTTATCCTCTTAGTGCCTTAATTTCTTCATCTGTAAAATGTGCCTGAAAATAGTACTAACCTCAAAGAGAAGTAATATTAGGTTAACTAATGCATTGAAGTGTTCAGGGTAGCTTACTCACATACTGAGAGTATTTATTAGAATTTTGCATGCAGAGGATATCAGAGTTGAGAATGACCTTCATTATTTATTGATCCAGAATCTTTCAGAGGGAGAGATAAGACCCAGAAAGAGAAATGACCTGCGTGGGCCACATAGTAGTGGGTGGCATAGGCACAGTAGACCTATGTCTCCTAAAACCAGAGTTCCTTACTCACTGTCTTGCCCACTTTATTATTTTCTTAATTATATTTCCATTTTTATCTTAAAACATAGTCTCTGTGAACATATTTTATAACACTCTTTATTTTAAAATTGTTTTAGATATATAAAATTTTCCAAAGATTACACAGAAGGTTTTTATGTGCACTTGGTTTCCTTTATTGTTAACATCTTATTTTTTTGGATATATTTGTCACAACTAATGAATCAATACTGTTATATAATTATAAACTAAAGTCCATACTATGTGGATTTGCTTTATTTTTAAAAAGAAAAAAAAAAACTAAAAATGCCCTTTTTTTTGGTTCCGGGATCCATTACATTTTGTCATCAATTTTTCTTTCAGGGAACTTTCCTCACTAAAACATCATCACCCATTTACTGAACCAAAGTGAAAAACAGCTCTACTTGCTAATGCTTTGCTAGCTTTTTATGGCATATACCCTAGGAAGGAAGACAGCTGCATTTTTAAAAAACATATCCTAGACTCAAGAATTTCCATGCATTCAGACTGAGCTAGTCAGGTTGTCTAAATGTGTTTATACTTGTTGTATAATTTGCCTAAGAGGTGTGTTCTGCTAGGTGCTAGGAGAATTATCAAGTTTAGTAAGAAGTGGTCACTTTCCTTTCATAGTGTTATCTTCCTGAGGATATTAATGTACGGGGTGACTTTGTGGCAAGGCTATGAAAAAGAAAGAGATTTTCTTTTATCCTAGAGAGATTCAGAAATGCCTTGATAATTAGGGGAGTTTGCATCTGAACAGTGTTTTTGGGTAAGAATTACATTTATGGACTTAGGGAAGAATTTCTCAAGCAAGGGAAGGGCACAAGTGAGTGACACTTTGGCAAGCAGGGAAGGGACATTTGTGCAATGCTTACTTACCTCTGGTGGAAGTCAAGATTCATATGGGTTCTTTACCTGGTCTTTCAGAGGAATGAGCTGTCCCAGTTCTCTGCAGGGAGAATCTCCTAGTCTGGGTCTTTGTGCAATGATGTGTGGCTTAGATAGATGTCAGCTAACAGTTTGCTTCTGCCCTCCCTCCAGTGCGAGAAGTGCAACCTGCATTTTCGTCACAAAAGCCAGCTGCGACTTCACTTGCGCCAGAAGCATGGCGCCATCACCAACACCAAGGTGCAGTACCGCGTGTCGGCCACTGACCTGCCTCCGGAGCTCCCCAAAGCCTGCTGAAGCATGGAGTGTTGATGCTTTCCTCTCCAGCCCCTTCTCAGAGTCTACCCAAAGGATACTGTAACACTTTATGATGTTCATCCCATGATGTAGTGCCTCTTTCATCCACTAGTGCAAATCATAGCTGGGGGTGGGGGTGGGGTCAGGGCCTGGGGGGTAGGAGCCATGGCAGCTCCTGGCCCCCCCGCTGCCATAAAACATTAAGAAAATAATATTGCTTCTCCTATGTGTACGGCGAACCACGTCAGCAAAAAGCAAAATCATTTTATATATCAAAGTGGGGGAGTACGCAAAAGTTCTGACTTGACAGTCTGCAAAATGAGGAATGTATATGTTTTGTGGGAACAGATGTTTCTTTTGTATGTAAATGTGCATTCTTTTAAAAGACAAGACTTCGGTATGTTATCAAAGAGAGGGCTTTAATTTTTTTAACCAAAGGTGAAGGAATATATGGCAGAGTTGTAAATATATAAATATATATATATATATAATATAAATATATATAAACTTAAAAAAGATATATTAAAAATATAAAACTGCGTTAAAGGCTCGATTTTGTATCTGCAGGCAGACACGGATCTGAGAATCTTTATTGAGAAAGAGCACTTAAGAGAATATTTTAAGTATTGCATCTGTATAAGTAAGAAAATATTTTGTCTAAAATGCCTCAGTGTATTTGTATTTTTTTGCAAGTGAAGGTTTACAATTTACAAAGTGTGTATTAAAAAAAAAAAAGAACAAAAAAAGCTGCAGAAGGAAAAATGTGTAACTTTGTTCTAGTTTTCAGTCTGTATATACCTGTACAACGTGTCCTCACGGTGCCTTTTTTCAGACGTTTTCAGTGATGGACGAGTGTGCGCCATCCCTTTTTGAAGTGTAGGCAGACACAGGGACTTGAAGTTGTCACTAACTAAAACTCTTTTTGGGAATGTTTGTCTCATCCCATTCTGCGTCATGCTTGTGTTGTAACTACTCCGGAGACAGGGTTTGGCTGTGTCTAAACTGCATTACCGCGTTGTAAAATATAGCTGTACAAATATAAGAATAAAATGTTGAAAAGTCGGCTTGCTCTGAAGGTTTTTCCTTATGTTGAAATGGGGATTTGGATAGATCTGGCTTAGTTAGCTCTTATTCTAGTAGGAAATGCTCTCTGAGGTGGGGGGGCTGCTGGCCTGTGTGGCCTTGGAAGGGAGTCTCATTTAAGAGGAGGCTGGAGCTTGTTCTCGGGAGGTTGGCAAGGACCCTCATTGGTCCTAGCCCCTGGCCATGAAGACATAGGTGTTTTTTTTTTTTTTTCTTTTTCTGTATGCAGTACTGGTATTTGAACCCAGGTGCTCTCTACCACTGTACTACAGTCTCAGACCTTAATTAATTGGTTGATTGATTGTTGATGGATTTATGGAGTTGAACTTTGGAAGTGCTTTCCCACTGAGCTACATCCCCAGTCCTTTTATCTTGAGTCCTTTTGTCTAAGTTGCTGAGGCTGGCCTCAAACGAGCAATGCTTCTTCCTCAGCCTCCTGAGTAACTGGGATTATAGTCGTGCATGACTACACCTGGTTCAAGTGGGGGAAAGCTCTAGGCTGAGCTTTCTAATGACTTCAGTTCTTACTCTTCTGATACAAACATCTGTCTCTTCGTCCTCTGGGCCTTGGATTGCCCATTCTGTAAAGTGTGAAGACTCATCTTGCCTTTTGGCTTCATAAACAATTTCTGTCCATGTGGATAAATGGGACAGGTCCTAGGCTTCTGCCCTCACTCATAATTTTCTCATCTTCAGTGCATTTGAAGGCTTTTTGGTGTCTCCTGGGTGATTGATAGTCATCTGTGGACCCAGAAGACTCATGAATAATAAGTAGCCAAGCAGACTTCGCTCCCTGCAGAGGTAGTCTTTGTTCCAAGAGCCCTGTGAGGGAACACAGCTACCTCCTGTGTGACTTGGGACAACCACTTTCCCTTTGGGTCTCCTTCCCACCCTGTCCAATGGGGGGTTGGATTAACTAGACCATTTAAGCTTCCATGACTCATGCCCAAGTTCAACCTAGTATGCTTTGGCACTGTTTTATTTTACCTCAAAAGACCCTGAGGATCAAATTTGATTGACAGGACCTGAGAACAGGGAGGACAAGTGTGGTTCTGGTAAATGGCGCAGAGGAGAAAATCCGCACCCCCCTTTTCCTGTTCCTGGGTGGTGATAGGGAGGGGATATGAGGCAGAGCCTTTCCCTGGGCCCATGGGCCCCCTGGTTGGACAGTGGTGTCCCTTGGCAGTGACTCTGCAGAAGGCTCCAAACACGTGCTGGGATGCCTAGGGGAGTTGACCACCCAAAGCCCCAGAGAGAGCTTCAGAAAGTCACACCACCCTCTGCCAACCACATGGCCTTTCAGCTCAGGTTTCCTTTGAAAATTACTTTAAAGGACTTGCCAGCTGGAGGCCTCAACTCACCCTGCTCTTTGAAAAGGGAGAAAATGATCCCTCTGCTCCCATAGAAACTTGGCAGAAGAACTTAGAAAACAGACAGCTTCAGGAATGACAATTCACAGGCCTAAGGGAGACTGGCCCCAGGGTCCCCTTGCTCCACGAGCTCATCTCTAAGTTTGTTTATGTAGCATTACTATTTAATAGGAGAATGAGGGCCAGGGCAGAGGCTGGGTGGTGTCCCAATAAAAGGGATGATCAAAGGTTAAGTGACTGGAGCCAACTGATGATCAATAGTAAATAAAAAAGAAATCTCTCAACAGATAAGCCAGGACAAAGGGAACACAGAATTTTATTACAAAATCATGGCATGAATGCAAGTTTTCACAAAACCATGATTCATAAATTAAGTCCCCAGGATGTTCTTCTCTGCTTCATGGGGATTTTAGAAGAAAGGTTTTTGAGGACGTCGGAAGGAGGAGTACGTTGGGGAAGGACCCAAAGAGGTGAGTGGTTAGATTTAGGCAGAGCTATTTAGGAATTGGAAGAAGTAGGATGGAAAGAATCCTCTAGTTAAATGTCTCCTCTGATCCGAGAAGGGACTGAGTCACAAAAGGCAAAGAGACTTGTGTACTGCTGTCCAGCGACTGGATTGAGAGTGGAATAGGCTCCATACCTCAACCTAAAGAAAAAATGAAAGCAAATATTCTATTTTGGGAAAGAGGAAATGGAAGTAGTGACTTGTCTAAGGTTACACAACGAAAAGTGTCCAGTTAGTCTGAGTTCGCACAACTAGCTGTCAGTAGAACTTCAGCCAGTGTAGTTCAATCATGAGGCCTTAGGCTGCTTGGGAGAAATGAGTTGTTTTCTCTAGAATCTGGTTTTCTATTTCCTTCTTTGCATCACTTAGATTAGTAATTAGTAAAAATTGTCTCATGTTCTACCAGAGGCATTCTTTGGAAAACACTTAAGAGGAATAGGAAGAGAAGCAGAGAGAGGGGCTGACCCCTGGGGAGTAGCTGGGTGATATTAACAGAGGAGTACTAGAGTATGTCCCTAGAACTGAGGTGACCCTCTAGTATCAGCTTGTCATTGTTTGGGATTTCTGGTCTTATCTTCCTAGGAGATTTTACCTCTTTTATAACTATTTTATATTGAGATCTTAGCTTCCATGCCCTCTCACCCCTGTTACTGTACTGGTCTGTGTGCGCCCCTATTTTCTGTAATCCAAAGAGCATAATTTTAACTGGAGCCCAGGCCTCTGGAGTATTGGCATTTGGAGAACCCTTAAATATTCTTTGACTAGGTCCAAGTGAAGGCTGAGTCATGCTGAGGTTTCTCCAAGAAAAAAAGTGGTTCACTCAAAATATTATGACCACTTGGAAAGACAGTTGCTCCAATTCCTAAAGCAGAGTCAGGAGGCTTCTAAAAGGTACACATGGGCCTTGCTGCCATGAGCACACCCAAAGTAGAATTTAGAGACATCAATGTGCCTTAATCAGAAGAGGAGAAAGCTTTAGTAGATGCCAAGACCCAGAGCTTTGGACCCTAGGAAGGGGCTTGGAGCTCCTGGAGTACCATATTGGCTCTCAAGCCTTTGGAACTTACTTCCTTTATTCAATTACTTGTACCCCAGATGATCAGTTGCTTAGTATATCTAAGAGATGAGTGAGGCCTCTCCTTCCCTTTTGCACACTAAGTAGGAAAGTTAGTTAAACAGCAAACATGCATGGAGTCAGAATCACAGAATATTGTAACGGAGGGAGCTTAGAGATTACAATCCTTTTATGTAGTCAAAGAGTAGGCCCAGAAAGGAGAGGTGACGTGTCCGAAGGCTCACCCAGAATTTTTAACAGAGAGATCACCCAACTCTTGGTTAGGTTTGTAACATGGCCCAGTCCTCAAACAATTTGCAATCAGGTTGGGAAAACAAAACAAGGACAATATGGAAAATCTCAAGGAAGCACCCAAACATACAAAGTTATGGACAATAAGTGAAGCTTCTAAGAATTTAGGGCCCTTGAGTAGGGGGATGCTGTCAATGGCAAATTGTTCTTTCAGGACAGTAGAAGGTGGACAGCCTTGCTGAACAGGTGGTCTGTTGAGAAGCCTTCCGAGTTTCAAGTGTCTCCCACCCTTTCTGTGGGGCCGCAGTGCCCCCTTCTGTATAGATAGAGATGTCCTCCTGGATATCATCAAGAAGAACCATCTCTGGAGGTGTATTAGGTTGCTAGGGCTGCTGTACTACAGTACCACAAACCGAGTGGCTTCAACAATAGAAATTTATTGCCTCCCTGTTATGCAGGCTGCAATTCTGAGACCAAGGTGTCAGCAGAGTTGGTTTCTTCTGAGGGCTTTGAAGAGGAATCTGTTCCAGGTTTCTCGCTCCCCTAGCTTCTGGTGACTTCCTGAACATCTTTGACCTTTCCTGGCTTGTAAACACATCATCTCTATCTCTTTGTCTTCACAGGATAGTCTCTCTTTCCCTGTGTCTGGACATTCCCAGACCCCTACTCCATATAAGGACACCAACTGAAATTTCCTGTACAGCAAAGGAATCAATCAATACAGTGAAGATACAAGATATAGAACCAGAGAAAAATTTTCCAAACAATGCATCTGACAAAGGGTTAATATTCAGAATATATATTTTAAAAAAAGGAAGGAAAAATGAGTTCTGAACTAAAACCAGGGGCAAAACCCTGAATAGACATTTCTCAAAAGAAGATGTTCAAATGGCCAACAGATATATGAAAAAAAATAATGTTCAACATCATTAATAATCAGGGAAATGCAAATCCAAACCACAATGAGCTATTGCTTTATCCTTCTCACTAAAAAGACAAAAATAACAAATGCTGACAGGGATGTGGAGAAAGGAGAACTCTTATGCACTGTTGGTGAGAATGTAAATTAGTACAGCCATCAGGGAAAACAGTGTAGAGGTTTCTCAAAAAGTTGGAAATGGAACTACCGTATAATCCAGCAGTCTCACTCCTGGATCTATAAAGATCCAAAGGAAATGAAATCAGTATGTTGAAGAACATGGGCTCCATGTTCATTGAAGCACTGTTTACAACAGCCAAGACATAGAAACAACCTAAATGTCCATCAACTGATGAGTGAATAATGGGATACTATGCAGCCATAAAAAGAAGGCATCTGCCATTCTTGGCAACGAAGACAAACCATTATGCTATGTGAAATCAGCTAGGCACAGAAAGACAAGCTCTGCATGCTCTCGTTCATATGCAGAATCTAGAAAAGTTGTTGTTATGATTAGCTGTGAGGTTTCCCCCAAAGCTCATGTATGAGCCAAGAATGTTCAGAGGTCAAACAATTGGGCTGTGAGAGCCTTAATCTAATCAGAGTGTTAATCCACTTGAATGGATTAACTGGGTGGTAACTGTAGGCAAGTATATGGTGTGGCTGGAGGACGTGGGTCACAGGGGCCTTATATTTTATCCTCCCTGAGATAAGCCCTCTCTGCCTCCTGGTGGCCATGTCCTGAGCTGTCTTCTTCCTTTACACCTCTGCCATAGTGTTCTGTTTCCCATGTTGGTCCAGAGTAACCGTCAGCCGTCTATGGACGAAGTCCTCTGAAACTGTGAGCCCCAGATAAACTTTACCTCCCCTAAAATTGTTC